AAAATACACCTCGGATGTCTTAAGCTTCCAAATACAGCATATTATTGCAGATAATAAATTAATTGCGAACTCTGATTTAAATAACACATGAAAATGTTTGTTGAAAAATAATTACATTCTTCATGATTGGAAAGTATATTTTACTCGAGATTTAAAATCGTTTGATGACCACTTATTTCTAAATTAACGCTAAGGAAGAAAAATAAATGAAGAATGATACATAAAATAGTTTGTATAACAATTCTTTATCTCGACAAAAGTTAACATACTTTTTTACCAAAACATCTTAATAATTTCAGTAATTTAAAATACGACATTTAAGATCCGTCATTTTTGTGAGTTTTATTTCAATGTTAAAAACGCTTTATTTATTAAAGGATTATTTTAGAAATTAAATTTCAAGAAACCAATTTTTTTATTGTATTTTGTAGAAATACGAATTTTTGAGCATTGTCAAGCTTTGCAACATAAAACGTTTTGACTTTTCTAATTATTTACAGTATTGAATCTGGGGGGATTTTTATTTGTAAATTAGAAGAGAAAGTGTTTCCTTATAATATAGTATTTTATAGCATTTTGCTAAAAAGACACATTTGTATTACATTTTTTGGTATTTTACATTTATGATATAACCGTACATTGTATGTTAGAAGTATTATAAATATTCATAAATACTTTATAAAAATTCTTTTAAATAGTAGTCCTAGTCCTACTTAAAATATGTAATTTGATAAAATAATTTGCGTTATTCTTTTTTTGACTTTCTTTGTTTACAATTTTTAAACCGAAGTTTTTTATCTAACATTCTGAATTCCTTATTCTGAAATATTTCTAAATTCAATATCATTTTAAAGCCACAGTGCAAGAAACAGTTAAATTCTTAATATTAATAATACTAATTCCCTTAAACCGAAAACTACTTTAGAAAATCAAAGTTGTTATCGAACCTTTATAAAAAAAACTTATCTAAAACCTTCAATATCGGAACGTACAGCAGATCGGAGGCTGACTAACTTTTGCTAAAAATATTTCTGTGGCTGATTATTGGAAATGCCTGAAAAGATATAGTTATTTTTGGAGGATAAGACGTTCATACATGCACAGAAGAATTCACTTAAAATGTTATGAGCCATTTCTTTTTCAAACTACAGCAGATATCGATCTTATATTTTTTCGCGTTATTAAATAAAGCTAAAAATGAATCAACGTGCAATGAGTTTTAACTTACTGTAAAAAGATTAAAAAGGATAATTCTCGTTAGAAATAAAACTAATAACACTTTGTTATTTTTGAACGCTTGCAAATTTTCGCAGATATTATTTTTTATGAAAATAAATAGATTTTTATTGCATCTGAAGAAATTTCTAAAATGAGTTATTTTTTAACACTTGCAAATTTTCACAGATATTATTTTCAATAAAAATAAATTTTTTTTTTAATTGCATGTGAAGAAATTTCTAAAAAATTCACACAGACGTTTAAACTGAAGTGAAGGATGATCCTTTACAGCTTGCTTCGAGTTATTTATTCAATAGAAAATTTATTTATTTAATGAATTTAACTGCATTGACAACAATAAATTCTAACAGTAAGATTTTAAATAATTAGCATTAATCACACACTTCGAAATTAAAAATAAAATAGAAAACTATACCAATAACAAAATATAAATTAATATAAATATTAATTTTTCTCTCCACAAGAATCAGTACAAATTTCAAGAAAAGTATCTGAATCAATTTTGTAATTTGAAATAAAGAACGTGTGATTATTTGACTGATTGTTACATTTAGTATGAAGAAGTAGAGAATTTTAGATTAGAGTTCCAAGAATGAACTTAAGTGACGTATAATTCGACTCGTAGTATTTTTAATTTCGCTCCACCTTATTTCGTAGCTGAATGAATTTAGCAAATTAAAGTTTGGTACATTAAACCCCATAAATTGCTCTCTCGATCTCTATTATTGTACACCTATAATGATTTCTATACCTACTTCGAAACGCTAACGGTCTTAATTTTAACTTATGTTAAGAGATAATAATGTATGAGCACTCAAACTTGTTCCTGTTATACAACATATCGTCTCCAATTAAACACTTTGTTTAATTATCGGTGACCCGGATAGCCTTTCAAATATGTTTTCCTCTTTATAAACAAATTTTAATGATCTGTTTACGATATCCTTGATCCAGTTTTTCCTCACGAACGGAACAAAAACGTAACAGTACTGCAACTTTATATTAAAACGCAACAAGCATCTTCCATTTTCGCTCGAAAATAATTCGCATCCGTCAGGATTTAAAGCAGGTTTGCCAACTTTTATTACACTGGCGTTGTGCGCGGCGCGTTAATAAAACTTGAAAACGAGTCTACACATTAAAGTAATGAAAACAAGTCTACTGTCAGCAACAGTTTCGACGGAAACGGGAAAGGACATTTCATTTTGGAATCAAACATAACTGTTTGGAATTATTTCAACATTATAGAAGACTAACAACTTTTGAGTCATAAAAGGATTTACGTACATAAGTTTCGTAATGCGGAGTGAATATTTTATCGCTATTTTTTCGTCCATTGTGAAACAAGTAGAATAATTGATAAATACTATTTCTCAGTAAAATGTAAAAAAGCACTTGTATTTTTGTATATGTACATATATGTAAACGCAATAATTTTGTTGTATTGCTGATGTGATATTTTTAAAATGAAGTTTTAAGATTTTAAGGTTTTAGTAAACTAAAAAATTGTTGTACAGTTAAAGAAATTCTGTTAAGTTTTTAATATAAAACAATCCATTTTATGTCATTTATTTCGTTTCGTTTGTAAAAGAGAAATTTAATTGATTAATAATTAAAAGCTGTAATAAGTATTGCAAGCCTTCTAAAAAGTTTTACTTTTGAAATGCACAATGTGCAATATTATACAATTGTTTCTGTGCACTTATAAAAGAAAAGCTGAATCTAGCAATAATACATATACACACAATAATTGTTGTGACTTAAAATTAACATCTTAAAAAATTCAAAAGCATCACTTATCTAATAATAATTAATGATTTGTTATGAATAAATTAATTATTCGCCAAAAGAATATTATTGCTACTGTTGTCAGTATGAATTTAAGGCCAGCGCGTGAACTAATCAAAATGGCCGACGCTTCTGCATTTTTGGCATTGTAAACAAACGTGATGCTTTTCACAAGTTTCGCCGATAAATTTTCAGTATCAATTTAACGTTGAAAGTACCCTTGTATCTGCCATATTTGTTTTGTATACTACCGCCTCTCTAGCATCGCTGGTAGTTTTTTTTCAGTTGCCTATTTCTACATCCTCGAACGTTTTCATTAATATTCCTCGTTGACACGAGGATAAAAAACAAAATATTAATGTAAATCGTTTCCATTCGGTGTATGCAAAGCCTTTTACAAACATAACAACTCCCTTTGCTTTTATTAATCTCAGTTTTGGACTGAGAATTATATTCGATATTTATTTCACAAATTATATGAAATAAATTACAAAAAATAAATTAGTCACACAAAAGTTATTTCGGACATTATAAATATATCAATTGTTTAAGAAAAACTATTTTATTTTCATCTTCTTACGGAATATAAAATGACGTACAAGGTTAGTATATTTATGAAACATTTGAAAATCAGGTTATATGTAACCCAGATAAATATTTACAATATTGTAATTTACTTCTACACAACTTATTATTAACCCGACTGCGATTCAATATAAAACCACCCATAAAAGACAACCTGAAAGACAACAAATCTACCCAAAGCTTGCTGAAGTACCTTAAAGAGTCTAAACTGTACAATAAGCTACAAACTTTTCGCTAGTCGCTAATAACCCACGTGTGGTTGATGCGACTATAAATAAATAAATTAAAAAAAAAAAACTTCCTTACTAGTTAAGGAATACTGACCATAATTTCATACTAAAAGCTTGGGTCATTGAAAATATGAAGTATTGATATATTCATGCAACACACTCTACAGATGTTAACCTACGAGTTGGCACGTAAGGAGGTTGTCTCAAAGTAAAAGAAGCTACACCTGTCTCCGCCGGGAACACTTCCAGCGTTACATTTCAGCAAATAAGAAGAATAATGATAGTAATAACTATATTTCGCATTTCACATTATTTCGGTCACTCTGGAGACATTTGCTGATATTGTTTTTAGTCTAATTGGTATACGTGACCGTTCGAGTTAATTATTCTAACTGCTGAAAATATCTGTAGGTCTATTTTTTTCATTTTGACCTATTGGAACCATACATTTTTTTAACACTTGGCTTAACTTTTCTTCAACCTTCAAATCGAAGAAAATATTCGATGAGTGTAAATGTTTTGATAAATTCTTATTATGTTAAATTCGTAAGATTAAATTCTTAAGAATAAATTCTTAAGACAAATACAAAAAATAATACATATATTAAAGTTAATTGTGATTATAGCAATACGTAGAAATGTAAACATAATATTGTTTCGAATTATTAAAAATTAATGCAGAAAATGCTGTATAAGTCAAGATTCAATGTATTACAAATATACATCAATCAAAAGTATTACAAATACTTTAAAAGACGCTCGTGATATTTTTGGAGATTCTGTTAATTTCAATCTGACGGTTTCTCAACTTCAAACGTCACGATATTAACCTAGATCGGTCTTCTATTATTAATAATGGAATTTCAGATAAGCGGTTCTAAGAAAATCCAGAAATATCGATAGCTGAAATTGTCCCAACCTCAAAGACTAAAGGGCTAATTGCATATTGACGTCTAAGTAAAATTAGCTGCTAAGTGGGACATGTGTGTATTTCATTTACTGTCAGAAAAATAGCTAGAGTATCCGTATGTGCATCTGTGCTCAATGAATTATCACATCCCAATAAGAATCAAACATTTGACTATCTTATTTGGTTAGACCCTTTTAAAAAGTTTTTAAGAAAAGAATAAAAGCTTCAATGTATTTTATTTGTCTCAGATTCAAGCACAGTTGAAGAGTATCATGATCTGTTTTTGGAATTTGTGATTGCTTCGGAAAGTATGAACGATCCTGAAACGCTACTAAAAATGGCGGAACGTGTTGCTGCAGAATTTGATTCGTCTGCGAATCCCAAAATAAATTTGCAAATTTTGGAACAGTTCACGATGACGAAAATACCGATGGAGGAACAAGCTGCAGCTGTTAAGAAACAATATTTTATCGAATCCAGCGATAACGATTTTGGCGGTAAGTCTGACTTTTTACACAATTTATTAATTGTTACAAAGTTTCTATTACAATTTCAGTTCATTCATATGAATCTTCTTTCGTTATTTAACTGTTTAGATTATGTATATTTCATTTTTTAATTTATTGACTATCCCGAAATTGTATATCAATTTTCTTCTATAAATTACAAATTAAATTATACATATTTTTTTGTTATTCATTCATTAATTTGTGAATATTAATTTTCTTACATAATTCTTACATAATTTGCACCATTTTTATCTTAAAAATTATCGATTAATTTTGCTAGTTTGCTTATGGCCTTTATTCGATATAATTTTTTCGTAGTATAACAGAAAATGAATTTCTTTATATAACTCACATAATTTTTTAATGTAATTTATCTCGAATCAAGTATCTTCGATCGTCCCTTTTGAGAAATTGACACGATCCTCATTATTGTATCACTTTATAATATCTGCCACGGTACTTTTGCTTAAACTTAAAAGAGGACCGACTTCCCGATAAGATTCTCTTCTTTCGCGGTGAAAAATAATTAACTGTCGCACGTCAATCTTTCGCTTTCTTGGTCTATATTCAAAATTTCTGACTAATCACAATAATTTTTGCATAATAACTGATATTTCGAATAATTATATTTCAAACAATCACTGATATTTCGAATAATTATATTTCAAACAATCACTGATATTTCGAATTAAGGTCTATATTTAGCTTAACATACAATATTTTACTTGAAACTAAATAGTGTGCGAATACATTTTGAACAGAGTGTATGTCTGTAAACTGAATTAAAGTTGTAATTAAATATAGATAAATATTAAATATCCGATTACTTTGCGACTTAAGAATAATACATTTCCGTATTCATCATTTATTACCCCAAAAATTAATTTAAATAAATAAAACTTATAGAAAAAACAAAGAATACTAAGTTGACAAACATTAGCACATAATTGATTACATTAAATATGCAGACTGGTAACTGATAAAATAGTATAGTGTCCAAATATTAATGAAGTGTTAATGTATTAAGTGTTAATGTATCTTTAACATGGCAGTCAAAGCATTAAGTAATCAATATACGTCTGCAATAATGTTTAGCGACATCTCATGAATTTCACGACTCACTCTGTACACGAAAAACAGAATTATTGAATATGAGTTGGCGCACGATCGATGGAGCAGCAAGTGTCACGTTGAATTTAAGAAAATTGATCGTCTTATCGTAGGCGACAACTTGCTAGGAACGGTGGCCCGTTTACGTAGAATAAGATCAGCTAACAGCAGATTTATCACGGCACGGAGACATTCACGGCATGTCAATGACGACATGTCATCGACGTCTTCCGCATCCGGCGACGGAAATCCTCGATACCAGCAGTTGCTAAACGACACTGAAGAGGTACCGTCGAATCAACGGACCGAAAATCGAGATGAGTCAATCGTGGCGAACAAATCGGAAGTAAAACAAAACGATGCTAACTGCGGATCGAGGTGCAAAGCTCAGAAGCGTCGACCAAAAACTGCTAGAAACAGGTAAATCATTTCATACGCATACTTATACCTTTCTGTAAACTTTTGAGTCAGGAGCAAGTCTGACTTTCACAGAAGAGTTTAATAATTTTGCAAGGTGGAAATTTAGGAAGTTGGAGAAATGTTGGAAATTTGAAAAGTTCAAGAATATGGGCAGTTGAAAATTTGAGGATACGAGAAATTAGGGAACAATTTGAAAATTTGGAAAATATTTGCAAATTTAAGTGTTTGGATATATTTACAAATTCGGAAATTTGAGAGTTTAGAAATTTGTAGATCTGGTACCACTTTTGAAACGTAGATAGAGAATACAAAAATAATGTAACAAGTTCAAATACATATTTGTCCGATTTGACCTTGTTTCAGTCACAGTTGTACAAAATCCATTTCAAGAAATTACAGTACGTTTGAATTGAAAAGTTGTATTAAATAATAATGAACATTATGTACTTAATATATTGTATTTGGTGATCCTATGTTTATTACATAATATTAACCATATTGTATTTTAAGGTAAAAGGTAATAGTAATATAAATATTATAAGGTAAGATGTAATAGTAATATAAATGATTATAGTGTTTAAAAACTACAGAGGAGCATTAGAATTATTAATGACACGTCTCACTAATTAGTTAATTATAAATTGTGACAAATTATTAATAATTCACTAACTTATCTGACTAATTGTTACTTATGCATTTATTCATATGTAACTGATATTTAATACTGACAATTAATAGTCTATTAACTTATCCAACTAATAGTTTTGCACAATCTTACGTGACTAATTAGAGAACCATGCAGAATTATAAGTAAAGAGCAGTGTTGAAATGAGGGTTTTCGTAAAAAAATGTTCAACTAGTTAAAGTCAGGAAACTTCTAGAATTATTGGTAACGGGAACAAACCGGATGTAAAAGTAGATAGTTTCTGGAAATGGAATCACGTGCAGACGAACTTGAATCGACTCAGGTAGCTGCAAGAGGATGGAACTTTGTAAATGAACACGACGAGAAATCTTAAAGTCACTAGGGTGAGAATTTGCAGACGAACTCAATGCATGATTGAACAGATGCTGGAAGGTTACATAAATTTCAGACAAGTCTAATACCAGATTAGAAGCCCATTAGGATAAGTCGGAAGTACATTTAGAAGGTGTAAGATTTAACAGTTGAGCTCGCTCCAATTTCACCTGAAGGGATAAGATTATTGTAGGATTTTCAGGTAAAAATAGTATATGAGATATCAGGAGGACTTATTTTAAGGTGAGAAAGTATAGTTAAATAGTAGATAAGTTCGGTTAACACTCAATAATGCAGAAACGATATAGTTATATTTGGAATAGACTACATTATTTTAGTAACTGGCGTCAGTAGCCTTGCTAGTAGGTAGTTGAATTTTTGCGTTTCTTGCTTTGCCTGTACTAAACCTGTTATTGCAAAAAGAAGGCAAGAAGGAAAGGTAACTATTTTCTTTTCAAAATCCTTAAATTCATACATCTCCAAATACCTACATTCATAAATCTCTATATCCTCAAATCCCTTCAAAAACTCCAAAACACAAATCGTTACATTCCCAAAACCTTACATCTTTAATTCTTCGTACTCCAAATTGTTAAATTCCCAAATCCCTAAATCTCTAGACCACCAGACCCTTATAAACACAAATCCCTACAATCCCAATTCCCTAAATCCCTAAAACCCCAAATCCCTTCATCTCTAAATCTTTACATACCCAAACCTCTAAATCCTCCAGTCGCTAAATCCCGAAATCGCTGTATTACTGAATTTTTAAGTCCCTAAATTTATATACCTCCAAATTTTGCAATAGTCAAAAATCCTTAAAACAAAATGGCTTCTTTCCTTTGTCGTCTTCTTTTTCCAACGATAGACTTGATATGGGCAAACCAAGAAATGCCAAATTTCGCTTGCATAGTAAGAAGGCTACTAACGCTGGATTTATGCCGTAGAAAATTTGAAATAAATAAATGTTGAGTCAAGCCACATGCCACTATATTTTCTTCACACTGAGGAATTTCCCGAAGGTTCAAACACTGCATTGAAAAGGGCAGGTCATATGGTGAAAAGGTTGTCCTCATGGCACCGATTTTACAAAGGCAGACATTCTTCCACTAACCTCCGGCTGAAAGTGCCAGTTAACGAAAAATACAGAGTTTGACGTTTACGCGTGTTTTATTTCATACACCCTTTCAGTATTTTCTCTTAGTTATTCGCATACTTTTAACATTATTACACAGCTGTACGTGTTTGGCATAAATTCATGAAGGTTTATATTCGCTTACATCACGCTACACAATGTAAAAGGACATTATTTGCGTAATCTTAAGATTACAAGTTCTTAAACCCCTTTGAGGGTCCGAGAAACAATTTTGATATTAATTTTGCATCCCCTAATTTTCTTCATTTATTTAAATAGTTTGTTTAATAAAATTCTTACGTAGTCAAAACTTTTTGTATGTGTTGTTACTTAATTAGTTACTAACATAACTAAACAATAATTAGCAAAAATTTAATTATTAAGTCTGCAAAAAAATGTTTAAGACTCGGACTATATAAGTTTATGATCATTTGTTCTAAACGTAGGTTGAGAAACAAAAATCTTGAGCGTGTCACGACATAATCTACGCGATCGGACAGGAAAATAATCCTACATTATTGATATAATAAAACCTCTTTAGAGCTATTTATACTCTCTTTAGAGATACAGATATGAGCTATTTATTTTGGAAGTAGTTTGCAAGTCTACCTTAGAACCTAAAAAATTATCCGTAAACAGTATTTCTTCCTAAGTTTTGCTCCTTTAATCAGACATTATTGCAGGCGAGGCTCCAAAACCAAATTCTGAAGATCCTCTTGTGGTTCATTTGGAAACCTCTAGGGGCAAACAGAGCTTAACCCGTTGAAGTAACTAGATATTACGTTGAGAGTACCTATAACGTTTTACCATTTCGAATTATAAAAAACTAAAGACCACCGGATCTATAATTGAATCATAATTGTCGATCGTAGAACCGTATTTTAGTTGACGATTTGATTGATTTTTTTTCAGCGTTGGCGCGAAGCAGTTGTTAATAATGACACTTCTAATCGTCATTGTAATTGTTTCAATCTATTGAAAATACTCTATTCTTGAATGAGACATACAACTCTCAATTAGTGTAACAGGTGTCAAACCAAGTGTTGTCGGAACACTACTATGCCATTGCTGTTTTAGGTACCCTTAGTCCAACATACATAACGTTGAAATCGTTGTTCACCTAATCGCAACTAACTGAGACTGACATTGATGAATGAGAAACCCGTGGTCATCCAATAGGTCGGTGGTTACCAAATGTTATTCGCAACCTTCATGCCGAATGCTCGAATGAGCTTCTCGAATTGAACATCTCCATGTTGCAGCTCTTAGAATTGTTATTGAACGTCGGTACTTAACGATATTAACTGTTTCTAAGAAAAAGGCTCTTAGAGTCTTTATGGAAGCTCTATCTCGAGGAAAGGCTGTTTGATTTCGTTACTAAATAGGAAGTAGCGTAACACAGAAAGCAAAAGAACCGTATAGACATAGTGCGTCACATATGGTTGCGAGACGAATAACATTTGGGTTCAGATGTACATGACAACCATTGCTGTGCAGATATTCGCATCATAACTGTGACAGATATTCCCTTATCTTTTCTCTCCTTTTGCAATCGCTTTTTCAATTGTTTTGTTGATATAGCCTGCACTATTCTACATAACCTTGTTAGTTGATAATCATATTCAGGGATGTGTAAATCATGTATGTTAGCGTCAATACATTTTCGAGAATCGTTGGAGTCAATCAGCTGTTGCTATTTTGTCTTCAAACGATTTATGAATGGGAACGATGTTCATTATTATGGATCTGGCCACGGAGTAGGGAAGGCGAGGATGCAGAAAGAGTGAATGAAGTTCGGTATAATTGCTATGAATCGAGCGTAAAAGAAAAGAATGATATCAATGGTGTGTTGTTGTCGTTTACGTGCAGGAAGTCGTAAATGGTTCGGTTATTGATAAAAACGAGACAGTTTGAGACATCCGACGCCTTCTTGTAAGAGAACTAAAATTAACCATTTGGTGCTTACGCCAGAACCTCATTAACACTTTCACGATCGGTGACACCAACGTGGTGCCATAGGCAGGCCAGTCGTTGTTGGTCGGTGACACTTATGTGGTGTCATTGATAGGCCGTTGGTATTAGCCATTGACTCCCACGTGATGTCAAAAGTATTGCCGGCTCATGGCGACGTTTCACTGCGCAAAGATGCGGTCGTGAAAGTGTTAATATTTAATAATCTTATTTAACATGTATGCATATATTTTATTTATAATTTTTGCATTTCCTACTGACTTAATTTACTACCATAATTAAAATGATTCTAATACTGTTCAACGACACAACAATCAGTACCTAGAGGTCCAATGTTAACAATTTGGATGAGGTTGTTTCAGATTAAGATAATGTAACAAAGTATAATAGAAAATAATTAATACACGAATTTTTTTATATTCACGAATTAAACTACCATTAGCAGGGCTATTTAGTTTAAATAAAAGTTATATGAAACCTGAGTTTGTTGTAAATTTAGGTTATAACTTTTTTACAGTTCATACTCGCTCATATGTTACACTCATCGTTTACAGCTTCTACACCATGTGAATCAATAATCAATTGCAAAAACAAGTGGTATACCCAATTTTTTCAGCAGCTATAACTGTTTGTACATGAAATCGCAACGTACAAATACTGATGTCCATCGCTATATTCAAATAAACTCGAGCTAGGTCTTCTTTCGACGAAACACTATCCGGCAGAGAAATGAAAGCATAGAAAACACACAATTTCCTGGTCCGGCTTGAAAAGTAATTACAACATAATAGTCGTTCAGGAAGGGTTTCGTGGCGTTCGTGGTAAGTCACACAGACTCTTGGAAACGCTCGGCAATACAATAGCATCGACAATCGATTGTGTCGACATGTTGAGACCCGTAGAACACGCAATATTGGAACATAGATTTCCCATTTAGATTCGTCGATGTTTTCCTCTGTCGCAATTTTCCGCGGAACTTTCACAGCCACGTCCCTCTTCCTTCTTCTCTTCCTTGCCTCTTTTTTTATCTAAATCCTCGACCGTGAACAGAATTAAGATCGCGTTCCGAGCACTCTAGAATTGTATTCAGCATGTAACACTGACAGCAGTATACACGATCCGAGCAACGCGCATACAATGATTTCATTGTGACGATTAATCGTTGTTCTACCTTGTTGTTGGAGGCGACGACATCTCGAACTCGAACAATGAAACAGTATGCTTCGTGGAAGTCACGAAAGTGTTAGTAAAAGAAAAGCAAGAAGTGGGACACTTTTTTGAGATAAGAATAGCAATCCTTGCTTCGAGGGACAGTTTAGAAATCTATGAACTAGCCAAATGCTTTTAAATTAATGGGTGATCGAGTTTTATCTTGATTAGTGTTATTAATATTATTTACCTAGGAACGTGGATGATTGATTAGATGTATGAATGTGGTTGAGCATGAATTTATGACCGAATTTAGGTAAATGAATATAGGTAAATGATTAGATAGACGAATAGGAATTAAAGATATGAAATCATCGTGGAGTAATTTTTAATATATTGCGAAATGTACGTATGATAAATTTTTAAAACATTTTTATTGGAAGTAAGATTTTGTCTTAATTGAAAATTTCATGTTATTTTCGTACAATTTTTGGAATTATAGTTGTTGATTGTACTTGTGTAATAATACACGTGTTTGTTTTTATTATCGCAGGTAATGATGCTAATATTACAGTTACATCGTACTGTTGTCATTTAAAGAGTGAGGTAGTATTATTAATATTATTACCGTTATGATTATATTCCAATATAGTAATAATGTGCTAATAAACGGAATTAGTAGTATTACCAATATTAATATCTATTAACTTAAAATTTTAGCTTTATTACATATCAATTGAAGTACAGCAATATAATCGAAATATTACAAAATGAGTGATAGTCCAGCTTTAATTTTCAAATTACAGCGAATTTCCTTTTGTTCGTGTTCAACTTCTCTTTTAATTAACTTGCTGTGTAAAATATCGGACGGCAATATTCAATATTTGCACATGTAAAATTCTACCTCATATTACATTTTTACAATTAATGCATTAATAGTGCGAAGAATAATGTGAAGAATAATCAGAGCAGTGATGTTATTAAAAATTTTATAAATTATTTCACACGCTTTATATTTTTGTTATTTATGCAAAAATGTATGTATACGCATCGAGATTACAGACACCATTTTTATCCATTAATTAGCTGAATTGTATTTAATATTGTACAAAACATTGAAACTACATTGTGCAGGAAGAAGAGCTATTTTCACAGCGCTTTTTCATGGCAAGAAATTTTTAATTGCCACTGATATTTGTCGAAACGAAACACCGTTCTATCATCGAGCTGTCGTGCAATTTTTTCTCCGGAAAAAATGACAAAGACCTAACGAAATGATGAATAACGCTCGAAACAGGTGATATAAATTAGCGTATCCACGTGGATTTAGTATTTACCAGGCTACAAAAAAGTTAAAGCACTGTTGCCTTTAAATCTGAATTCGATAAAATGTCAACTGTTTTAATCAAAGGCGATAAGTCATTAGTTAACACTAAAACTACCAACGCCGTTAAACGTTTCAAATTAATTAACACACATCAAACTAACGTCAAATTAAAGTTACAAATTTTTATTTTAAGTTACAAAATTTATTAAGGTGGTTCTCTTGAAATGTGTCCCAATTTTCACACAAATAAATAAGATACTCTTATCATTTGTTTATTTATTTCTTAATTGTGTTTTTAATTTCAAAATAAGTGTGCGTTATACGCTGGTAGATTTCTGGCATTGATTATATATGTAGCGATTTCATAAACAGCATAGGAAACAAACAGGATAATATCGTAAGTCACGATGCAAAGGATCAAAATTATTACGAAATAAATTGGAATGTTCGCTTTGTGTTCAGGAAGTATAAAATTAATTCTTTTGAGAAGAGAGTCACTGGAATTGGACCGCAATAACTGAGAGCAGAAAATTTACAAATATTGCTGTAGTAAATAGAATTCCGCTCGTGTGAAATGCGTATTTTTATCGGTTTTAATTTCGTGGTTAACAATTTGGAAGCATGATCATGTGCAATAACAATTTTCGTAGATTCTTTCGAATCTTAAATTTAATAGAATATTCAATATGTGTAATTAAATGAAACTATTATTTGTGAATTGCATATGCTTTATAGAAATCTTCAAATTAGACCTGAACATTCCTAAATTTCCGACATCTTCATATTTCTAAGTTTCTAAATGTTCAAGTTATCCTATATTCTTTTTAAACTAGTAGATTCTCCCGTCAGCTCTTAACAGATCAAGTATGATATTTTAAGAAATAGCTACGAAGCATTGAAGCTACGAAATTTATTGTAAAGTACTGCACGCAAACATTCAATTTTAAATAAATTCAACACATTTATTCTGAACATTATTCTGAATAAGTTGTTCGTTCATTTTGTTTGAGTGGTGTCACTGATATACAAATTAAACGAGTTCGTGTTAGCAATCATTTGAATCGTTAGCAACACAATAATATATGTAGTCTTCTTTAACCTCAAGTTAACCTAACCTTAAACTTAGCCTAACTCAACCTCAAAAATTAACCTAAAGTGTTAACTTTTCAACCTCAATATGTCACGAGTGTTATAATATGTCATCAATTTTTATTTCATCAAATCGAGTCAGACTTCGTAATATCGAATTCGATCATTACACAACAATCTAAAAGATGCATGTTGGAAATAGAGATATGTTACATCTTCAACGAAGCTGAAGTTATAATCCAATTTGTATGTGCGTATTAATGTTAGCAAAAGTTAGAGACAATTAAACAATACATGGAATCATTAGGATTCCCAATGATTGAAGATAAGTACACTATTGTACTGACAGAAACTTGGATTCAGGAGTAATCCTCTCTCTATGCTATTCTAAGACCTAACACAATTCATAGAATATTTAGTTAACCGCACAAAAATTTGAATCAAAAAATAAAAAGGTTTTTCATTAAGTTGACTCGCAAGAAACCATCTTTGCTCTTGACTATACATCGACACCTTATTTTCACGGAAGCCACTGACCGATAAGCTTAAGGCTGTAACATCAAACCATAAATCATTATATTATTCCTGCAGTCTTCTATAGACGAAACCGAAATCTCTGTGGAGAAAGGAAACTCCGTCTTATCACTGCCTTCCACTAAATCGCAACTTTCAAGCATCCCATCCTTCTGAACCCCTTTGAAATTTACGTTCACGCCAGAGTTCACAGGAACATCCTGTTCCCTGTTCTCCAAAACCATACTCGCTCTCCGATTGACCGTTGGTTTAATGGTATTCTTGTTCTGCGCAATTCATGCACAGGGTATCGCCGAAGGAAACGGAGGATTCCGGCCAAAGGAGAAGAGAATCGATGGAGCGGAATAAGGCGGTTTCACCGGCGACATCGCCCACCGATCCGCTCGAGCCATGGAGCACACGCGGAATTAAAGACATGAACACGATATTGGCTTGGGAGGAAAATGTGCCGGACAGTCCTTAACGAAACTTTACGATATTATGCGCCATGTTCTCCGATGGGTTGGCCAAAACGAACGCTGTTTTTGCGGCGACGGCAAAGCGGAAGCGATCCACGAAACTGGTAATTCGGGAATTTCCTTGGGCACAACGTGTTCTTCGACGACTTATAGATAATGAATTTGGAAGAGCAAACTCCTGTATATTTATTTAGGAATAATTGTCTTCGGTATCAAAGATAAGAATAAATTTTGGAAATATTCTTACCAATGGAAATTTGAGGGGATAGAATACAGTAGATGCTTGAAATATTTGCGAAAGTTGCAGTTAAGATATTTATAAATATCGTTTATTTTGGTTTTTAAATATATACAGATAGGTATTTCATTTGAGCGTTTCATTCGAGGATTTCGTACTTGTCAGAAACTACTAATTGGTTTATTGCTATTCGAATGGTAATAATTGTTAATGTAAAATAAATTATTGTATTTATATCTATATACCAGTACTTAAATGTATAATACAGCTGTATATCCTGAAATTTTATTCATTAATTTATTACCTACATGAAAATACTTACTCGAACATATAAGTTTAAAGGAAAAAATGTACATATACATATAAAATATATATATAAAAATAAAAACTAAAATTGTAGCGAAATGCGATACAATGACTTTTTGAAAGAGTCAGATGATTCGCAGAAAATGTGAATTATTGAACATTGATTACTAAAAACTGTTTCTTCATACAATATAACAATTTAATTTTTCGTTTATATAAAACAGCAAAGCACTATTTATCGTATAACGTAATATTTTTGAATAAAGAAATATTCTTGAAACTATTAATTTATAAAAAGCAATTTCGTAAAAATTACGATGTTCATTTTTAACATTTTTTATTTAAAATATCTAACAAATTTTTATTGTACTGCAATCATAGCCATACATAAAAGATCATTAAAAAGTACAATACAACGAACTATTTCATCTTTTTAATCGAAAATAGTATTTTGATAACGTCTACACAGATAATATATATTCGACCACATATATATTATATGTATATTATTATATCCTAAACTTTAATAACATATAATGAGAAACTTTATATTAGATATTGTTTATAAAAAGCAAGAAATCATCATAAGGCTGTTATTTTCGATCTTCTACTGTATTCTACCTCGTTCACAACGTCGTTGTTCATTTTTATATAATCCCAATGCTATCTTGTATAAAATTGCTTTGGACTTTGAAAAATTTTAATATGATAACGCATCTTAAACACTTCCAATAGTTTTAATAAAAAGCATGTAGAAAACATTCATTTCAAATAAAGTATATTTGCACTTAGGCGAGTGTATCTGTGCATCCATAAAAAAGAATAAAGTCATAGAATGTTAGGACGTATTATACTATATGACTTTTTCAATTTTTACTTAAAAAGAAGTAGTAACCTGTCCCAGTTCCCAGAATCACCCTATGTCTACGTGACGTCACCAGTTCTGTACTCACAGAGAATCGTCTGACAACTCTGATCCAGACTGAAAGACATAGAAAGCAAACAATAGTTAGGTCCCTTCTTTATCCTTCGAATTCCCAGGGCTCATCTTGTGGCGAGAGAACAATACTTGAGTCTCTCAGACTACATGTCCATCGGTTATGGTGATTTTGAGCGTCGATTTCGCTACATGCAGTATAGCGGTGAGTTTTCAATTGTGCTACGCAACTCTCTTTCGTTCTACAGTTACTGTGAAATGCCGTTCAGCACGAATACGGTAAAGAGAAACTGCGATCATGAGAGCAATTTGAAACTAGTTTGTAACTGGAACAATTGTTGGAATTTATATTTTGTGTGCGTTTGCTTACAAGCAATTTAGAAAATTCTAAATTCCATCTTATTTGAAGAAAGAAATAAACAGCAATGATATTTTATGCAAATTTTCTTAACAAACCTCATACGTACTTTCATGTTTTAATGACTATTTTTAATGTTAATATATGTTACTTTCATGTGTATTAATATTAAATATATCGTAATAATAAATTTTACTCGAAAAACAAGCATGAAAGTATGCGATATTATCTACTGTTCAAGCTTTATTATTTTTATGGATTCTATTTAACTTCATGTTACCTTATCCATCATTCTTTAAGTTTAAAATGAAGTTTGTTTCGTTCTATTCTGTACTTTATACCTTGCTACGTCATTTTATAATAAGCAAACTTTTATTTCAGAAGCGTACAGTAAATGTTTCTTACACAGTAACTAAACGTTATTTCATGTACTGCTTTTTGAACAAAAAGTCACGTAGTAGCGGCTTGACACGTTGTCGACAGACCGCACTTTACGTTATAGAGAAATGGTGACCAGTAAAGGTTAAAAATTAATGAGGGAACATACCGAGGTGTTAAGTTTCCAACGTGTGAAGATATCGTTCGCTTTTACGGAGGAAGAGCGGTTTCCACTAAAAGTGACTGGTATTTAGTAATATAATGATAATGGTTCGCGTAGTGTGCACTTAAAAAGTGAAATTTGAAGGATAATTTCAACTGAAATTTATTCGATAAAATGAATAAGATTTATTAATGGAATTAATTGTGATGACAATTAATAATCTAACAAATTCTCAAATTTCCAAATTCCCAAGCTTCTAAATTCTCACGTTCACAAATTCTCACTCCCCCAAATTCTCAATCTCCTAAATTCTCACTCCCCCAAATTCTCAATCTCCCAAATTCTCATTCCCCCAAATTCTCAAGCTCCTAAATTCTCACTCCCCAAATACTCAATCTCCCAAATCCTCAGCCCCCCAAATTCTCAATTTTCCAAATTTTTACTCCCCCAAATTCTCAATCTCCCAAATTCTCACTCCCCCAAATTCTCAAGCTCCTAAATTCTCACTCCCCAAATACTCAATCTCCTAAATTCTCACTCCCCCAAATTTTCAATCTCCCAAATTCTCATTCCCCCAAATTCTCAAGCTCCTAAATTCTCACTCCCCAAATACTCAATCTCCCAAATCCTCAGTCCCCCAAATTCTCAATTTTCCAAATTTTCACTCCCAAATTCTCCAAATTCTCCAGCTCCCAAATTCTCAAATTTCCACATTCCCAAGCTCCTAAATCTTACTCCCCCATAAATTATTATGGACTCCATCAAAGCAATAATGAAATCAGGATGCTCAAAACTTTGAAAATTAATAATACTTAATACAAAAATCGACATGCGGATAACATTTCTAACAATTCGAAATTTTCTTGTGTACATTCGTCTTAATACTCGTTAATGTCGATGACAAAATAAAGATTAATGTGAACAAATATTTACGTAAACGTGGCTCGCTAATTGCTCGGACTTGCGCGAGATAAATGTTTCCGATGGAAACATAACAGCTTCAAGAGATGAGTTTTAAGAGAATGGAAGATAAATTGTTTTCACATTTCATTCCAGTTATGGAGTATCTCATAATCGTTGTCATTTAATTCATAACAATTTTAGAAACATAACTTGATTTGAATAATTATCTCATAAAAGGTACGCCTTTTCATTAGAGTTTCTCTCCTGGAAAATATTATTCCAGTAACTACTACAGTAGACGGAATATTAGGATGAGCGTGGCTATTTACGAGAAGTGTATATTCCTAGGTTAATTAGAAAATTCAAATTAAAAAGATCGTGCGTGCCAAAGGGTTTAGGTTTACATTTTAAATGCTCTACGTACGAGACAGAAGAATTGAATTTAATACATATTATATTTAAAAAGATGGTTATTCAAACATTATATATAAGAAATTAATAATAATAGATAATAGACAATAATTTTATAATAAATAAAAGTTTGTCTTTACTAAAGAAAATGTTATAGTTATTAAGATTTTTTTCCGAAAATTGATATTTTTTCAAATAAAAATATGATCAACATTATTGAACATTTTTAGTAGTCTATAAGAATAATCTTCTGTAATTATTTTTTATTTTTGCAAAAGATGGACGATTCTATTTTTCAGTATTAACCCATTGTTTGAGGTTATGTTTCGTAGAATTTTTCTCTGATTTTGATTTTAATTTTCGAAATGTTTAAAATATAAAGGGATTTTTGAATAATCACTGGCCTTTTATATGTTTAAAGTTTTCAAAAGTATAATAAATTTCATTTATTCTTTTAAATCAGCAGAAACTGATTTTAAATTCAAGTTTAACATATCTATTTGCTGTTATTGTTCCAAATTGTATTATTAATGAAAAGTACTTCATAAAATCATTCAATGTACAAATTACAACAAATGGTTTTCAGATATCCGCCTCTGATTGTTTGAGTTTCCGGATACGTTGCAGAGAATCAAAATATAACAGGTCCTATAGCTTCATTTTAAAATACACTATCAAATGTTCGCAATAAAAATATATGGTTCCATTTAGAAAATAGAACTTGCTCTTCATATCTCATAAAATAACATATAAAAAGAATTTGATTTCGTTGAAACATTTTTTCAATTCCCATATGAACAGTTTTTGTTATTATAAATAGTTACAAAATTATGGAACTGTATCACTTTAATCGGGATACCTTGATTGTATAGGGTGAGACAAGTAACTGGGCCAAAGTATAACTCTGTTACTATTGATGATGGAAAAACGTTACAGGGAAAAGTTTTACATTGCTCAACAAACTTTATCACCGTGCAATTTGGCAACAGATACCTTTAAAAAATGCAATTGTATTTATTTTTAAAAGAAACCTTACCATTCTAAAGCAAAATAACAGCAACGAGATGTGAAAAATATGAAACTTCAATAAATTCTGAAGTATTGTATTCGCAAAGCGGATCAAAGAAATTTTTTGCTTTAAATAGAACCGCAAAAAATTACTGTTATCTGACATTATACTCAGCAACCGCTTGTCTGATAAAATGAGGATTAAATGACTTACCATTATGTCTTCTAACCTTTCGCATATGGGGTAGGTGTTTCAAGACGTTAAAACGAAAGGCTATTTATTAAGCATTCAGAACACGTGGGTAATCCTGTGTACAGCAATGACCGAAGCTGCTGTAGCATGCAACAGCAATTAGTTTTCTTATCGAAGTAATTTTATCAATAAACTACGTTACTGCCCCATTTTTTGCTGCGTTTGCGGAATACGAACTTGT